AGGGGTAGGAGGGGGGGGGGGGTAAATAAGATGATAGGGTGAAAGGGAGCGATGAAAAGCATCACTATCAAGCATGCGCAGAAATTTTTTTTTACTACGCTATCCCATTTTACCCCACCATCTCACTCACTCACCATTCGATTAATCGGACTATCCCATTTTACCCCTCTCTCCAATTCACCCCAGTATTCCATTTTACCNCGGACTATCCCATTTTACCCCTCTCTCCAATTCACCCCGGTATTCTATTTTACCCCACTGTCTGAGTGACCCGCTGTCCTGTTTTACCTCACGATTCAACACCCCCCCTCCCCCCACCCATCCCTCCTCCCCCAATCCACCTTACTATCCCATTTTGCCCCACTGTCAGATTCATCCTCGAATCTCGTTGTACCCCGCTGTCCAACGAACCCGCTGCCCGATTCACTTCGCCATCCCATTTTACCCCATTGTCCATTCAATTCCAGTTTCCCTCCCCTCTCCGTCCTCTGATCGTGGTATCCTGTATTACACTCAATGTTCACTCCACTCCATTTACAGGGTGTCCCATAGTATGTGACAAAAGTAAATTGCGAATAACTTGAATATGGTCAAGTGTAAATAATTGTTGTTTTCTTTATTATATACAGAACATTCGGCAAATTATAATACAATCCCTTCCAAGTGTCCGCCATCACTTGTACTACAGAACTCTATCCTACGCTCGAAGCTGGTATAGATGCGCTGTATTATGTTGTCATCAATAGCTCAGACAGCATCCCTAATTGCGTCTTGCAACTTTTCCACAGTCGTCGGATGCTTTTCATAGCACTTGTCCTTGAGAAAACCCCACAGGCAAAAATCACAGGGATTTAAGTCAGGACTGTAAGGCGACCATTCCATGCCCCCATGGGCATACTTAGGGTAACCTAAACCTAACACACGAGTGCCGTAAACGGAAAAGTGTTTCAAATACTCCAGTAGTCCTGTGTGGGGCGGCACCATCTTGCATGAAGTAGAAATTCTTGACTAATTGATTTTTTCGTGCCCAAGGAAAGAAGTTCTTTGTTAAGAACTCACAGTAAATATCAGCATTAATTCACCCATCCAAAGTTAGCCACTCATTACCATAATTATTGATTTTTGACGAATGCAATCGATAGTTCGTCAATTGTTCTTGATTGTTCGAGGATTTTCAGCGTTTGTTCCCCAGCCAATTATTTATAATTGATTTTTTATTTTTTCCTCCCATGTTTCCTCAATTTAGCCCCTCCCACGTAAAGATCTAATCATTTTAAATTGTTCCTTCTGATGAATCGTTTGTTCGTCGTTTGTTCCTCCCTAAGACACTGCTGAGGTAATCGATAGGTTGATCCTTTCAATTGATTTTCTCTCAATTGTTAAAAGAGTGGCATATACTATAGCACCAAATTTTACTACCAGCAGCTATAATTCGTGATTTACTATGCAGAAGTATTTTTGGAGCGGAGTCCGTTCCGAAGGCTGTTTAATAATAATTAGTTCATCATTGAATAATAATAATGATATTGACGACAATCATCGATGATTACTATTCAGCCGTGTGACAGTGTTTCCTCTCAATGAACTCTATCGATGGATATGTTCAATTACCGCCCATTGAACATTTACATTAACCTCAATATTGTGCAGCAGTATACTATAGTAACGAGTGTAACAATATTACATGAAAAATCACCAATAGCGATTAATGGAAGAATTAATTCATGGGAGAATAATGCCCTTAACGTGTGAGATTCATTGATGAAGCATTATGACGACTCCATCGGTTTTCTAGAAGAAAACTCCGGGGAAAATCAGCAGTGAACGATGAGGGACATTCTGCGGACAGAGTGAGGTGGTAAGTAATTGTTGGTTTATCCCTGCATTCGAGGGCTCTCAGCCCAGGTAACTAGCATTAGGATAACTTTATCCCCATGTATTCAACAGCATAATGAAATAACTAACCTAACTTGAGCATAAGATTTTTATAAATATTGCAAAGCCCTGTGAAACAGTTCTATTCTTGGGAGAAATTTATTGACATTTAAATTTTATAATCTAACAGTCTTTCAACTGGTGGATCAATCAACAGGATTTGGTCCTTAGGCCTATGGAAAATTTTTAGACTTCTCTGTTACACCACTGAGTTCCAGGGAGATTATTCAGCACATATCTCAGGGACTGATGAGTTTTTACAAAAACGTGCTATCTTGACATTTTACGATGAATCCATCAGTCTCAAAGATATTTGTCAAATAATCTGTATACATTTTTGTGACTCATTTCGTTCCATTATCTCTTTACAGGAAATTATTATCTTGTCGGCATATTTTTGGTAGATTCTCTGGAGATGAAGGTTCTACTTGAGCAGTAGTTTCACTTGGCATTGGCTCTGACATCAGACTCCATCAGAATTCCCCAGACCTTCAATGAAATCTTTAGGCATAAACAAACCTAGAGAATTGTCTCTCATTGTAGACATTATTCAACCGCTTTGATTGATCCAGAAGCTTACAAAATGTTTCAGGATGGACGTTCAACCCTCAGGATTACTTCGGGTCATTTCAATCAAGTATGGTTTATGTTAG